AAGACTTAGTAGACGAGCAACTGTCTTTAATGGAGGCTTGTACCCGTTTAGTATCAGCGTCGCACGAAGTCCCCCCCAGGCTCTCGCGCGTGCTCAAAAAGGCAGGATTCTCCGCCCAAAACGGCAGGTGCACATGGTTGGCATCTGCCGGACCTCGGCACGTATATAGTCTCGACCTCTTCAACGCTTCCTCTACCCTACACCGAGGGTTATACTGCCTATAACGTATGCGCTGAATGCGCAAAAGCGCATAGAACCTCATCTACACAATTCCTTTAAAGTGGGGGGGTCGAGGCACTAAATGTGGCCCAGTAGAAGCCCTACTGGGATCAAAAAATCACGCTGAGAGAACTGTAGCTTTTCAGACTGTCTCCTACTTTCAATGGGGAGTCCCAAAGCTCAGTAGCTCCTCCTGGTACATTATCTACAGGATAAATTACAACTACTAGGTTATATTACTGCGAGCACAACGGGGAGTCAACAGCACGAAGTTCCTTGCCGTGTATTCGGCAAGGTCCTCGCACGTGGTTTACCACTGCTGCGGCGCCCCAGCTACTCGTTTGGGTAGGGTCCACTTCCAAAAGCGGGCTAAGGGGGACTTCCCTATGCTGTATCGGAAATATGCACTAGCCTAGGACTTTGCCATCGGTTGTTCTCAGAATAGCGCAAGTTCGCGACTTTGTTTTGTTCTCTCTCGCCTACAAGACCCTGCGGCATTTCAGGAATATAATACTGCGTACACTGTCGCCCACAACGCCGACGACCTGTGAAACTCTTTACCGAGCACGGAGATCGCGCTTCCCGATTGCACTATTGTGGCCTCGAGGCAGGCAATCGAGTGGCTAGAATGAAGTTCAATGAACGGTTCAACAAGTGGCTCCTTTGTCTTCGAACAACGACGTTAACATGACTCGCAACCGAGGCAAGCGCATTCGCAAGCCTGCCCAGAGTCAAGTCCTAGGACGGGACGCTGGGAACGGGCATTTGGAGTTCCGACTCGAAGGTGAGTTTCAGTCCAATCCCTTCAAGTTCATGGATGTCTGATATGAACCGAACATGTAGCATTCTCGCCCGATGGGAGCGAGGGGCATCTGCCCGAAGGCACGCGGTTGGAGGACTTGCCGACCAAGTTCTGCGCTGCGCCCGAATGCAAGAACGGGAAGGACCTGAAGAAGTGTTCCCGGTGCAAGTGAGTATGGGGGTTTGATTCTTCGTAGAGCACCGTGTGCTGATTGAGCGTATCCAAGGTCTGCAATGTACTGTGTAGGTACCATCGCTCCTAACCCTGCTGAAATCTCTGAAATATATTGACACTGTGATTCCCTCGGACGATGACAGAGCTCAGCATGCCAAAGTACGCTCCCTCATAGCCCTCTCATCATCAACGACCTAACCCGCTCGTATTCCCAGAACGCGACTGGCCAAACCACAAAGCCCAATGCCTCCTCAACGTCACACAAGCCGCCTCCTTCGGCGGGTTCGACAACGAGCCGCCGCTGCAGCGCCACCTGCGGCACTTCACCGCGCGCTTCGAGGGCTCGCTCACCTGCGCCGCCATCGTCGCGCTCGGGATCTGCCACGACTTCGCCAACGCCGGCCGGAAGGCGCTCGTCATCGCGCTCACGCCGCGCGCGCACGAGCACCCCGGCGCGCGCTTCCTCGTCCGGAGCGTCACTGTCATGACCATGACGCAGCTCGAGACGTTCATGCACATCCTGGAGCCCGCGGGCGGCGCGGCGACGCTAGCGCAGCACCAGCTGGAGCGCGCGAAGATTCGGGAGAGGCATAGTGGCGCCAAGGACTTCACGGCGGCGCTGTTGTATGCGACGGGCGGCGAGGGGGAGGGGATGGCAATGCGGTTCAAGCCGATCTGCGTGGACCGCGCGATGGCCGCGAGCCCGGCGTTTAGAGACGAGACGCTGGATTGGGAGACGACGCTGAGGATCCAGGTTGAGAGGGATATGCCGGCGCGGGCGACTTAGCCGTTGGCCCGGGTGGAGGGCCGGTGCTCGGACGAATGTGCTGTAGATGACGGAGGTATGGATGCGTCCTCTAAGACCGGGTGCTGTTCACTGATACCGGAACAGATGGGCGAGATATATGCTTGCTGTCTGAGCCGGTCTTACAAACCCTTGTACCATTTACTTCTTCTTTAGCTCCAGCAAGACTGTACGTCCTTATCGATGCGGGAACCCGTCAAGGCTGCCTCCGGCTAAGTTGACTTGCCGTACTGCCTTTGAGACACTGAACTCGATTATATTTCGACATCAGCCAGATCACATCTATCCACTGCGCATCTTGGTTTACAGACGCCAACCTGTCTAACTGCGCGCCTTCGTGTACAAACGCGGCCATGTGCGCCTGTCTCCGTCTCGCTTTCTCGTACTGCCGTGCCGCGTGGAGATGCAACGCTCTGTCCCGGAGGGCCATGAACCCGTCAGCGACTACAATCCTCCGCTGAGCGCGGCTCGTGAGTAGCTACGACTAGCAGACGGCGCGTGGGACTTGCACTATTATACCGAGGCAGCTGATCATCTCGAGATGGGCCTGGAAGATGCGGAAGATGAAGCTTCGGCGTTCAAGCAGGGAAGTGCGGGCTTTATATTTCCGGTTAGAGTGATAGCATCTCTGACAGATAGAAGGGGAGGATTGCTTCGGCGCCGAGTCAAGGCATCTCATGGCGCATGGTATCCCGATCAGAGTTGAAGATTGTGGGAAGAATGTAGCATGCCATATCACTGCAAGTATAGCTCGAGACATCCTGCACTGATGCTGCGTGTGTAATGTCTAATATTAGGTGATAATATCTATCATTGATATGCTATGTTTGAATTCCCTTCATGTGTTCTCCTGTTTCATCTAGCAGTTTTCCCCATTAGCTCTTGCATCGGCCTATGACTTGGGTCAATGTGTCTCCCTGCACGGTTTGCTTATGAAGATGCTGATTTACCCAGACTGATTGATAGCACAGCAGAGGGATCTATAAGAAGGGCTCATAGCACCTGCCAGTATTCGGATTGCATTCTGGTTCCATGACCGCCTCTACTTTGCAGGTATCTCCCTCATTCTATTTCACCAATGTCATTTGCTAAGATGTGGAATGCAGCTATACATTCTGCAGTTATCTGTAGGTCTTATTAACCCTTATGGGTCAGCGTCAGAACTTAGAAATATGATACTGGCCTGAATCATGCAGGTTGCAGCACTCCTGTATGGTATATACCACCTCATACTTTTATGTGGCTATGGCTCACAATGTGTCAGGGTTATATGTAGCTGCATTTCTGGCTACCCTTTGGGTCCTTCCTTTCAGGAAACATCAGGGAGTGATGAATCAGTGGTTGCCATATTACTCTGCAGTTATGTTCCTCTTGATGACTGTGGAGATCATATGTGTTTTCCTGCAAGCATTTTGGACAACAGATTTCACATATTTCCGTGGCCGACCTCACAATTACAGTGAACCAGAGACATACAACAGAGAGCTTATCCTTAATGATCTGTTCAATATCCTTGATTCAGTGGCAACAAGCAGCACTATGTAAGCCCCATTGTTTTTAGACTGCCATCTACTCATGAGCAGACAGCATACTTGCAGATATACTTCTGGTAGAGCTTATTTCTATTCCACTTCAAATACTTTACACCACTAAGATTGTGATAGGCTTGGCGTGCCTTTGTGATCTCTGGCTCCAAGATGTGGGTACAGATCCTTGCTATGGTACTGATCCTTGGAGAGGCTGGTGAGTTTAGTATCCTCTATCACTCTCATATATGTCTGATGGTACATTCCTTCCCAAGTCTGCGGTTATGGAGGAGTTGTACTGTGCACAATCCTATACACCATGAGGTCACACATATCTGCAGGAAGTGCAACACTGGGTGCACACTTCACAGATACTGTCCAGCTTGCTAGCAGATTCAACACTGCTTTCTATGCTTTAACTCTGGTCACAAACATTGCATTGGCTGCATTTATAGGTATGCTTTACTCTGATTTCTCATTGATCTGCCATTGGTGCCAATGGGAGTGCTTTATTTTAGTCACCATTGTCTGGAAGGCATACTGGATAGGCCAGAAGCAATTTCAAAGTGGTCATGCCGGAAAACAGTGCATGATTTGGCTGTTCCTTATGTGCCAGTAAGACCCTTCCTCATTTGCTTGGTCAATTCTCCTGTCCTGATATGCTATGGATATAGCATTGAGTCTGGTGCTGCATATGCAGTGTCTACAGTCCTCTTGACAATCTTCAGTACTGCAGGCAATGGTCAGAGCAATGGGTGGACCAATCTCCAAACAGTGAGATAATACCATTTATTTTTGCACTGCCGATATACTAAGGGCATTACAGGCCATACTGGCTCCCCTCTCATGGGGCCTTTCTGTAAGTTTTCTCAATCATTCTTGCTACACTGAGCATATGATATATATTGTGCCAGGGTATCATGCCCACTTCTATCATCATTCTTATCGGGCTGGGAAAGGCATGGGAACACAGACAAGACACAGCCACTATGTCAACAATGCAGTTTGCAGCTAACAGCAAGCCGGGAAATGTGGAGGCTCAACCTTGGACAAGTAGGTGGTTTTGTGTTCAGCATGTAAAGGAGGCATCCTACATTTCTGACAACTGGATCTTAAGGCAGAAAACATACGGTGGAAGATGGCATAGCCCCAGTCATTCCTCTTGATATGGATTCAGCCAGCATAGGTGGATCTTTCTCAGAAGAAGATATAGGTAGACTAGGGTGTCATACAGAAGGTGGTCAGTACTAGTGGTCCCCAGTACCCGGGGCACAAGACTACAAACATATAATCCTACACTACATGATAAGTAATAGACCTCGGCAAGGGAAAGTTGTTGCCACAGAATTGTGGCTGATTACCTGACTGGCTCACCTTCGGGTAATGCTTGAGCAGCACTCTCGTGTATAGACGCGGCTTGCAGCTGCTCTGCATCGGCGATGCGTCAGGTGCTGTACCGTCAAGTCTGATATCGCCCATTTTTGCTCCTGTGTAGTGCTTTCTGAAGGCTCGGACGTTCAAGTATTCTGCTTTGCGGTACACAGAGGATGTTTGAAGACACCGAGAGTCGACCGTCTAGCCCTGACAATGCTCTCGTCGCACTTACGAACTTCGACTCGGACTGGCATCCTATCTTTCATGCGTCCAACCAAGTAGTCCTCTATAATCCTACCTCGCATGCCCTTTCGATTCGGAAAGCGTCCCATGTTCCACACGCGACCAACTGCCCCTACTGTAACCGGCCCTTTCCCCAGTCTTTCCAGCGAGAGGAGGAGGACGCAGACGACCATGTCGACATATCTAACGACCACGCACACGTATCTAATTACTTCCAGCTGCTGGCTGTGTCTAATGAAGCCTCTTTTCGACCTTCTTCGCCACCCAGCCTTGCTTCGCCGCCCTCCTCTCAGCCATCTACCCAACCATCAAGCAGGCCGGAGAGTAGGAATGGTGCAAGGAGGAGAAGGAGCCGTAGTACGAGCAGAACGACCTCACAAGATGGATTTGGGCCCGCCGCCATGGCGCAAGGCTATTTTGCTCGCTTCTTCAAAGAGGAATGCAGACTTGGAATGGGTGCCAATGGCACCGTATATTTGTGCCAGGTGAGTTTGTATCTCTATTTGCAACACTGCGAGACCGCGTCGTCGTCGGATCTGAATATCGTATGACGCCACACATCATACTTGTCGGAGGTCCTCAGTCTCAGGGCTTGCTGTTTAATCGCCCGCTCTGGCTGACTTTTCCGGATGGATTTCCGGTCGTGCAGTAGTCACTGCGACCTCGTGGAAGATACTCCACGACCGGCCATCTGATAGCTAAGCAATAGTTAGCGCAGACGATGGCACAGCGGGTCCAGAAAGAGTACCTCCTCCGGTCGAATGCGAGCGTGTTCGATTGAGTCTGTCTCATGATATACGGGGCTCATATCACCACTGTCCCCACTCTGCCCCCAGCACTTACAGGTTGAGTGTCCACACCTGTGCATGATGCCTCTATGTGTGTGTTGATATGGCCTCCCGTCATATATGATGAGAAATCTAACCGATTCGGCATTCGCTCATCCTAGCCTATGCCCTCCGTTCGCCGGATTATGACTAACTCAACGTAGCATATCCTAGACAATAACCCCCTAGGCCATTTCGCCGTGAAGAAGATCGCCGTAGGCGACTCCCACAGCTACCTGCTCAACATCCTGCAGGAAATCCGCCTCCTCGAGCGCCTCCACCACCCGAACATCATCACCTACCACCATGCCTGGCTCGAGATGGCACGATTCTCGACATTCGGCATGGAGGTGCCTACGCTACAGTAAGCGCACCCCCTCTACCTGCTCCTGCAGCTGACAAGAATGCTGATGATCGTGTGCAGCGTGCTGATGCAGTACGCGAGTGGCGGGTCACTAGACGACTTCATCTCCGCGCGTCTCGGCGATAAAGAGCAGTCCTCGTCGGGCCAGCCCTCGGCTGCCGCCTCCCGCTCTGCCCGGATTCGGGCGTTCAGAGAGCGGCAGAAGGCCGCGCGCTCTCATCAGGGTCAGAACGACGCACAAACTCATGGGCACGGTGCGTGGAAGGCCGTGCATTTGTTGAGCGCCGAGGAGGTGCGGAGATTATTTGGCGACGTCGTGGAAGGTCTAGGGTTCTTGGTACGTCGCAGAAAATAACTTCATGCACGGACGATGTTGCAGTTACTAACACAGTTTTTGTAGCATAACAGATCTATTTTGCATCTCGACCTGAAACCAGGGAATGTCCTCCTCACCTACGACGATGGGCAATTGATGTGAGACTTCTGTCTGTGTCCCGTCTCTGCATAAGCTCACATGAGAGTAGACCCCGAGCAATGCTCTCGGACTTTGGCACGTCGCGCGATATGCTGCACTCTAAAGCCCGCTCAGGAAACACTGGAACGTACGTGCATTCGTACTGAATCGGTTAGGGGTCGTGAACTGACATATCACTATTCCCAGGCTGGAGTACTCCTCTCCCGAGTCCCTCCCGTCGCCGCAGACCGGCCTGCTGCGCGACATCGACTCAAAATCAGATATGTGGTCCCTCGGGATGCTGCTATATAAAATGCTCTTCTTCCGCCTACCCTATCGTTACGAGGAAGGGCGTCTCGATATCCTCGAGAAGGAGATCCAGGGTTTCCCTGGGTAAATTCATCCCGAGGCCTGTTTTTTTGTGTACCGCTCATGACTTATGCACGTTGCAGGTTCCGGTCCAACTCAGAGATGGTGAAAGCATTCGAGTCTAGGCGCCTTCCGCGGGCGTATCTGTATTTACTGGAGAAACTACTGAGTCCGAAGCCATCTGCGAGACCATCTTGCGACAAGATCCTCAGTGCCATTCGTGAGGGACGAGTAAGTGCATTCATATGCTCGTGTCCTCATCGTATGTAATTAAGGTGACTATAGTTCGATCCGTCACACGCAGATCCGGATTTACCTGGTCCGTCCTCCCTCGTTCCTGCTCACCGGCGCCCTGGAGCAGGCCCAGCTTCGGGTTCTCCTCCCGCGACCGATGCACAGCAGACAAATAAGTCAACGGACAGCCGTACCGTTGACGCTCCTAATTCATCGATAACCGACCAGCATACTGTCTCCGAGAAAGATAAAGAATCCGTCTCAGGGGAAGACCACGAGTCGACTCCCCTGTTGGGCTTGCCCCCTGTGGAAGTCGGGCGATGGGGAAACCTGTGGTTGAGGATGACCGGATTAGCACGGATAACCCCTCCTGCGGCGCTTCGTGGTCGCGTGCCTAGAATCCTATTGCATCGGACGCTGAAGTCCGGTATTCTGGTGGCCAAGGTGAGCTGCTCGTCATAGCAGTCCATATCATGCTACAGTTCATTGTGTCATAGGTTTTGAGCTTTACCTCCTCTTGCCCGAACCCAGGTTCACATCCGATTCTTCTCGCATCTGTCCTGACTTTCGGAATCATGGACACTTGGTTTGATGGATATCAGGTGTCAGCATTTCTGGGTGCAATGCACGCCATTATCTTATGGCTGAGTTCGAAGCATTATTGAGTCGATTTTGGGAATGCTCTCATATCACTTCTTGGGGTATTTGCACATGAGTCCTATGCATTTGTATTTTCTAACACCATTCATTCATGGAACTACGCACACATGTATTTACTATGCACTCCTGCCGGAATTCTTACTTGACATTTCAAAAGGAGTGCCGGAGGCATAGAAGTAGCGCTCAGCACAATGTGTGATGCCACCCGTATGCGGCAAGAATCGCGTTGAAGCGTTCTACATACAATAATACACGCTGTCCCAGGATTGACTGCGACATACTCTAAACAATTTGCATTTCTACGAGGTACAAATGATAAGGCTATGAAGTCCTAGATGGGTGACCTTATTAGTGAAGCTACAGTATCCCTTCGCTATACGTCTTCCTCCCAACTGTCGGGTACAGACGCGGCTGAAGTGCCAGTGCCAGCGTTGGACTGTCGCAACCAGGGCGGGGCAACGGTAGACTGCACCAGGCCAGTAGCTGAGGGCGCAGCTGGACGAACTTCATCCCGACTAGTCCAACTTCTACCGCCGCTCGGAGCTGATGAGCCAGGAGGGCGAGCTACGACGGACGTCCATCCCCGCCCTGGCGCAGAATTGACAGCAGGGGCAGGAGCAACCGCAGGCGACGACGATCGCGGGGCAGGTGGAGCCCGTAAATCCGCAAGCTTTCCAAGATTAGACGACGTATTCGAAGAGGCTATCACGGACGATAACAGCGGAGACGGTACGCGAGTATCAAGCCGCCGAATTAACTGTACGCTGCGATGGGGCTCTTGATCGACCATTTGCGTGTCCATACGATAAACACTGGCGAGCTATATCAAACGTCAGTAACCGTGTGTTGTGACCAATAGAAGGCTAACTCACATCATGGACGAACTTCCGCCGCTCGGGAGGCATGTGCGGCAACACCTGCGTCTTCTTATCCGACTTCACGAACTCGCCGAACGTCTTCTCCACAAGCGCACAAAATTTCACATTCGCTCTGGCGAAAGCGACCAGATCATCGTTGTAGGAGACCTCCTTGTCATAATGCTGTTCGGGATTGATACCCAAAGCAGCCGCCAAACGTGCGTTGCGTTTCGCGACGAGACATTCGTTAGAACACTTCAGCTGCTGCGACCCTTCCTTTCCGGCAGGGTTAGAGGTGCTCCGCCCGCATGGAACAGATTGTCGGATACGTCCACAAGGACAGGTAATGGTTATCGCAGCGCGGCAGGGCTCGTTTTCGGGGCATGACGCGGGGGCATGGCATGACTCTGTGCAAGGGTGAATCGCTGGCAAACAGAGTTTCCGCGGCTTCCCGCATACAGCGCTGCAAGAGCCACAATCGTCTCCATGGCAGAGTCTTTGACAGTGATGGAATCCGCATCCCAAGAGCTTGCCGCAAACAGTTCCGCACGAAACTTTCTCCTGAGAGCACTTGACGTTATCCACAATCTTCTTTCCGCACGCGCAGCGTTTAGCGGTTAGGAATGGGCAAGGAGGACAGGGTGCTGGGTCCTCATGACACGCATGCGCAGACTTTGGATGACCGCAAGGCGGTGGCGGCCGCGCACAGGGATACGTGCAGTTAATCCGCGTCCCGCAAGGTATAGGAGGCTCAAGAATTGTCCTACCACAATGGCAAATCATCTGCAGAGAAGCGAACATTAGTCAAATCGCAAGCAGAACTCCAAATCAAGAAGTTGCCCACCTCCTCGAACGAACTCCTCAAGCAGGGCGGACACGGGCCCTTATGATCCCTCTCCTCGCACCGATGATTCCCGCACCCCAATATCTTGCCACACACCAAGTCGCACTCATGCAGCCCCGACTCGTCCACCGCGGTCATCACCGCGCGCTTCCCCCTCTTGCCCCTGCCCAAGCCCGCGAGCGACGCCAGCGGACAGCACAAGCGATTGCATTGGTGCCGTCCGCATGCCCGCAGCGCCGTGCATGGCCTGTCGCACAAAATCTCATCCGCGCCATCCTGCAACTCCGAACATTTTACATCGCGTGTCGTCGCGCCGCACCGGCACGGACGCACAATGCGAATTGAGCAAGGTGGGCACGAGCCGGTGTGGCACCGCGCCGCGCACGCGTGCACACAGCTCGCGAGCGGCTTCATGCACAAAGACGCACACGTCGGGATCGGGTCGGTGCACTTCGTCCGAGTGAGCGTCGTCCCCGGCGGGAAGGCGGAGGCAGACGACTCGGTAAGCGCGTGCTTCCCACAGGGACAGTGCGTCACGAGCGAGGGCGAGAAACGACAGGGCAAAGGGAGCGGGGACGGAGGGTGGCACGGCTTGGAGCATCTGTGGACGCCGCAGTCGAAGGGCCGCTCACATTTATTAATGCATGCGAACTTGCCCGTCCAGCGCTCCTCGCGTCCTTCCGTATCGATGACGAGACAGACCTTCGTCTCCCCTTCGCCGCATCCGAGCTCGCGCTCTTCCTTGCCGCAGTAGCACTTGGCGATCTCCTTGACCGGGCACGGCGGACAGGATCCGTCATGGCAGGTGTTCTCGCAGGTGTGGTTGCCGCATCCCAGCTTCCTCCCGCACACCTTGCCGCAGGAGAGGTCGGCGGCCTGGCCCGATGCCATCTTGTTCGTCTTGCTCGGGTGGAGGTTCGCGCATCGGTATGCCAGCGTCTGCTTGCCGCAATAGCACGGAAGCTCGACGGTGACCTGGCATGGAGGACACGGCCCCGGATGGCAAGCGAGAGGGCAGCCATGTCCGCAGACCCGCGGTCGACAGCATGGGTTCGCGCACGAATGGGGTGTAGCGAGCCGAGGAGGCTTTGGGTCCATCGTAGACCCACAGAAGCACCTTAGAGGATACGTTAGATACCTATAGTTATCAGCACGATGAACGACATACCAATAACCGTTTGGGACAATCATGCGCTTCGCCTGACACCCGGGGCATCTCCACTCGCCCTTCCGGTCCTCCCCCCTCGCACGCCACGCCTCCGCCATCTCCTTCACGCTCTTCGACGCCCACGACTTGATGCACTTCAGATGGAACGTCGTCCAGCAGCACTGCATGTTCTCGTTCTCGCCTTCGGCGCCTGCGATCGGCAGCGAGGGCGAGCATGACCACGTCGGCTGCACGGGGTGGATCGCGGAGAAGCAGATCGGGCAGTCGGGGTACGGCGGCGTGCGCAGGTTGTGGATGAGCGTCGACGTGAGATCGTCTTTCTTGGGCCCCGATACAGAGTACTTTTCGGAGGGTCTCATGGACGTGGAGGCGGACGATGCGGGGTCCGAGGTCTGTGCTTGCGATTCTGTCAGATTGCCGCCGAATTTGGCACGTCTTCCAGCCCGTGGGGCTCGAAACGACCCATCGGTGTTGTTCGAAGTAGCTGCCGCATTGCGAGGCCCTTTGCCAGGGCCTCTTGCACGACCCCTGCCGCCGCCGCCGCCTTGCTTTCCGGTGGATGCGGAAGTCGTGCTGAGAGCCGGAGTAGTCGGTCTTGTACTCACATCTCCAACATCGCTATGCGACAGCCCAGCTTGCGGGGGCTCAGAAATATGCGCTCTTTCGTGAGACGTGTCTCCGTTCTGGCCTTGGGCGCCATTTGAGTGAGGTCCTCGCCCGTCTCCTCGCCTACGCGGACCTCTGTGAGTTCGAGGTCGTTTTGCTTCGGTATCTTGTCTAGCATCTTGAGAAGACCCTGGATTATTATTTATCTGGGCATTATTCCGCTGTTCTCCTGGGTGATTCCGCGGAGGACGTCTTGGGTTATTCGGTCTAGGTCTATGATTTCCTGGGTTGTGCGTTCCGTCCACGATCGTCGTAGAGTCAGTCCGTGTTGGTGTAACGGTCGTCGACATGCAACAACGGGGAAAAATAAAGAGGAAGAAGCAAGTACTCGAGTGGAAAGAGGATACGGCTTATAAGTCTGCAGGCTTGCTGTATGCAAGGGTGAATCATCAGCCACAGAGGCGGGACCGAGCGGACCCACCACGTGATATGACGGGACCAGATCTCCCACGGAAGCGATCGGCGGGATTGGCCGGCATTTCTCTGTATTTTGATTAGATAGCAAAATTACCCAAATGCATTCCACCATGACTCCGACAGTGTCCCTTTTCCCCTCGTCATGTCCGATTCAAAATGTCTGGCCGACGTTGAGCGCGACGGCGAAGGCGTCTGTTGCAATGTCCGAAAGGATGGCTGGAAAGCGTCCATGACAGAGATCGGCGAGGACGCTGACTCGCAATATCTCAGTACATGGAGCAGGAAGCTGCTGCGATTTGGGGTAGAGGCCAGAGGTTTGTAGCCTCCAGACTATGTTTTGCGGTTATTATATGTTGGATCCAGGAATCCGTCCTGTCCCAGTGGACGAACGTACGGACACGCAGTTCAGCAAAATATTCTTCATCTGGCTGTCGTCCAATTTCAACATCCTCTCGTGGGTGCCCTTGTCTCTTTCATCGCGGGTCTTGTTCGTAATGCAGAGCTGCCTCAGATTCTCTGCAGGGACCCTAGGACCCGCTGTGTACGGCCTAAGCCTTAGAGATTCGTGTCTCGTGATTCTGTTCTTCAACCTTCTTTGTGCTGCCTTACCCGCGTACCTGTACGTTCCTGCTCGTTGATTCGTCTTCGAGAGAACGTGCTGAGTCATATATCCAGGTCAACATGGGGCCCTAGACTCGGCCTACGGCAGATGTGTCAAGCCCGCTACAGCTTCGGGTGAGTGCTACAGACGTATCGTATGCAAGTGGACATCTGACTAATTTGAATGTTCAGCTACTTTGGCGTCATCTTGCCTTGTATTCTGAATTTGGTGGGGATGACCGGTTTTTGTATCATAAACGGGATTCTCGGAGGACAGACAATATCTGCTGTATCAAATGGACATGTTAGTTGGACGTACGTATTTATCCCCTCTTCGGGCGGCAACGACGCTTTGCTGACCAGCTGTGAATTAGTGTTGGAATCGTTGTGATTACCATCGTATCATTATTAGTGCGTTCAGAAAGTTCAATCATATCAATATTTGCTGGAGACTAAGCCAGCTCACAGATATCTTTTTGCGGTTATAAAGTACTCAATTGGTAATTCCATAAATGTCTTCTGCGTTCCTCGTGATCTCACAGGCGCTGTTAGGTACGAACGAGTATGCTGGATACCCGTCCTTATTGTATACGTCGTAGGCCTGGGCGTCGGCGGACACCACCTCTCAAACCCGCCACCAGCTGAGCCCGCTACGGTTGTCTCGATCCTGTCATTTGCGTCGACCATCGCCGGATTTGTGATCACTTACGCTCCGCTAGGCTCGGACTTTACTATATACATGAAGTCCACGGTACCTAGGTATGCTTCCCTCGCATCTTGAACTAGAGTTGTGACTAAACCGCAGCCAGTTGGAAGATATTCTCATGGGCCTACGCGGGTTTTCTCCTCCCCATCGTAATTATCCACCTCCCCTCACACGTGATTTTTCTCAAACATATCTCTTCTGTCGCAGGTCTCTGTTCAGTGTTTAGGTGCAGCAGTTGCCAATGTCGCCCCGCTCGTGCCGTCCTGGGAGGCCGGCTACGCAGACGGTAACGTCGGAGGGCTCCTGCAAGCCATGCTCGCACCCACAGGCGGCTTCGGCAAATTCCTTACCGTACTCCTCAGCCTCAGCGTCACCGCAAACATGGCCATGACCATGTACTCCTTCTGCCTCAACGTGCAGGTGTTCGTGCCCTTCCTCGTCGCCCTCCCGCGCTACGTCTTCTCGCTCGTCGCAACTGCTATGTACGTTTCTCCCTCCATGCTCACCTTACACTGTATATTCACAACATGCACGATACAACAGAATCATTCCCCTTGCCATCGTCGGCTCCCACCGCTTCTACTCAACTCTCTCCAACTTCCTTGGCATCATCGGCTACTGGGCCTCCGCCTTCGGCGCTATCATCCTCCTCGAGCACTTCCTGTTTCGCCGCGGCTCGTTCCCCGCGTACGACCTGCGCCAGTGGAACACCCCGCGGCAGCTCCCGCTTGGGGTCGCAGCGCTCGCGGCAGGTATCATGTCGTTTGGCCTGGTGATCCCGTGCATGAACCAGGTGTGGTTCGTGGGGCCGATCGCGGAGAAGACGGGGGACATCGGGTTCGAGGTCGCATTTGCGGTGACAGGGTTGTTGTATATACCGTTCAGATGGATTGAGTTGAGAGTGTGGGGGGCCTAGATCCGCCGGAGGTGGATTGATATCGTCAAGTTGAAGTGGCACTTCGTGTTGGGGCATATATGTACAAGGACCACGAAGTGAAGTCACTACGTTTAGAGGAAATCGTAGTGTGTAGGAGGCGAATGTCGTAATATGGAATCGACCGAAGTCGGACTGGCAGACGAAGCGCATTCTCGCACGCTTGCGGAAGGGAGAGGGTCTCGCATAGTAGTGACCGAGTCCCAAGAGGAGGCAAGGCGGAGCTCTCCTGCTCGCCACTCAGAGTCCCTGAAGCATAACAATATACCGAAGTCAGAAGAGAGATAAAAGGTAGAAGGGCTGGATTTACACGCATGCTCTCGACGGCGGTTGCGGCGCTAGATACTGCAACGGACTGGACTCGCAAAGTTCAGATTTACAGTCATATGGGCTTGATGGCGGACGTATTGTTATTGTCCGTATCGTCTGTTGAGAAGCTTTATTGCCGAGGCCTCGAGTTCGCCATACAGAGCCTCTGATGGATATCAAGAGCGGGCATATGGCCTGACAATGGTGTTATCACTGTGGCGACATAAGAGAAGTGGGCGCCCTACCTGAATCTGTCGTAGGAGAGGTGCCAATGCATTCGCAAGGAGGCTATTGATAGAATATGTAACAATGAATACTACCGCTGTTACGGTGTACAGAGAGGCCGATTCGATAAGAACTTCGATCAGAATCGGCATGTATCCTCCGGTAGTGCGACGCGCTTGACGCCCCAGCCGCCATATGCGGAGGATAATGAGACCTGTCGAAACGACATTAAACGCGACAGAGGTGGCCGTAAAGGCTATCGCCAGTGACGCAGAAGTGTTGCTATATATGTCGGTCCCCCATTTTGTCAGCTGGGCAAGATACGATGAACCAAGTCCTTGAAGATGAGGCACACATAAGTCCTTTAGCTACCTTGCGACAGAGGACTGACGTACCGATCGAAGCAAGAAGCATTGTAGCGGGTAAAATGATAAGATGTCTTTGGTACGTCGAACTGCTACGCTTATGGGTCATCCAAAACTGGTGAAGCTGTAGAATTCACGAGCATGAACAAGCGATGTCCCGCTGGAGAATTGAACTATACCTGACCACCAAGAGGTCCACCAGCCAGTTCATGATAATTTGTCTGGGGAAAGGATCAGTCGGATGAAAGGACTTGTAGGCTTCACACTAACACCGCCATCGAAGCAACGTTGACCCAATTTCCTACGTTCTGGGCATAGAAAGCCGAGGGTCCCCCTGGATACCCGGCCTCGAGCACGAAGAGCACCTGCGTCCAGTGGTCTTGTAGGCCGAACGAGAACGTCGCCAGAGCAAAAATAATGCCGTTATACCCCATAAGGCGAAGTTTATATTGGTGCTCGGAAACGCATAGGAAGTATATGCAACCTAGATGGAGGGTAAACACGACCCCTGATGCCTAGTTAACAAATCCCCCAGAGCGCGCAGGGAAACCCATAGTAGCCTACCGTAAGCCATGCTAGCGAATACTGTCCCTTGCATTAGACATGCCACTAATCGTGTCTCGCTAGTCGCGTTCACGCTTGCAGAGGCTGAAAACATGAGGACTGTAGTGAAACCGCAAACACTCCGTACGATTTATATATTTTCTCCACCTCCATGTCGTGGTCGCATTTGCGGGAACCGAACATCCAGAACGTGGCATACAAAGCACTCACCGTTCAGTGCATGCTTTTACACGCATTGCAGACATTCTGACACACGAACCTCTGGCATAGCAAAAGTCTCCTAATAGCTCACAATAATCTGATCGAAGGGGGGGACGTACCTTCTCTCCACAGCACTCTCCTGCATGAAGGAATAATGCTATGCGCAGCAGCATCAGTTGATGGTGCGTCACTGCCTGACTGCGGGACGATGCTGTGCAAATACAGGTGATACCAGGCATAGTCTCCGAAAGGCGAAGGGTTGTCATACTGGCGCACTTGAGGACCCGGCAGTCATGCAGTGCTCATTCTGGAGCAGCAGATAACTAGTTGAAAATGCAGCCTACGGCAATGCTGTGCTTTCCAACTGAATCTATAATACACGAATAATACTTGTCGTAGTCAGGTATTCCGGGTCAGCAGCCGCTAATGGTCAAAATACCTCACCATAAGCCAACCAACCGATCACTTCGCCAATTTCAACGTAGCGCATTTTCCACACGTTCTAAATTCGTCTCGAGAGATGCCAAAGCCATCGTCCCCATATCATGACCTGTTGTAAATTAAGGCCTTAGGAAGAACACAGGTCCAACGCGGTGCCAGCTTACTATGAGTGTCAGGGAGTTCCGTTAACCAGTTATCGAGCAGAACCCGTAAGGGTCCGAGCAGCGTCCCTTGCACAGCAGCGATCCTGTCCGGGTCCCGGATGCCAGTCTACCCGCGTCAATCGCTGCTCCCTTTCCCCATCACAACAAGAAACACATACTCTATTCCCCGAGTCCCGCATGAACACCACATAATAAAACGCCAACACCTCGCTCAACCTCGCTGATTCCCCACTCTCCACAAACTCGTCCAGCTGCAGCGTACGCGGCAAGTCTGCACGGAACAAAACAGGCCCGATCGCCTGGAACAGCGCCGGGGACGCGAAGACACTCGTACCCTCAGGCTGAGCCAGGCCCTGCAACACCGCCTCCTTCACCAGTCCAACCGCCGCCACGCGCATCTGCGGCGAGGTCGTCTCCGTGTCTGTGAGGATGTCCCGGAGGAGCTGGAGGCGCAGCAGTGGCGGCGAGAGCGCGAGCACCATCGAGAGCAGCCGGAAGACGAGGTGCCGCGTGGGCGGGTCGGGGTGCGAGGAGGCGAGGGTGGGGAGGAGCGAGGCGAGGGGCACGGATGTGGAGGGGTCTAGCGTGAGCGGGGGGTCGGATGCCTGCGCGCGGTGCAGAGCGTGCAGGAGCAAGGCGAGGGTTTCGTCTAGGGCGGTGCTCGTTTGGATGCAGTGGATGACGGTCGGGAGGAAAGTGGATAAGAGCGTAAGGGGGGAGACGTTACTTGGAGGTGAGTGTGCTAGGAGAATGAGAGAAACGACGGATGGTTCAGAGGACAGGGATCGCTCGCTGTTACCCAACGTCGTCGAGGCATTCTAAGAGATTTGTAAAGAGGCCGTATTTGCGACTGAAATGACCAGACTATACCTGGGCTGCCTGGAGTGCCTGTTCCCCCGCCTCCCACCCTTGTCTAGTAGCAGATCGGAAGACAAGCCGCGGGAAATACTGTTGGAATGTCCGCTGTGCAAGGGAAGAGTCGATGCTTGCCTGATAGCCTTCAAGCGTCGAATCAAGGAGTGACTTGAGGATTTTCTGTGGTGCCGGTGGTCATTTCCAGACCTTCAGATATCAATCAGAGGCACAAACATTGCAGGCCACAATCTCATCTTCGTGCTCTACGGATTTTGTGCGTACCCATCGGGTTGCCTCGCCCACCAGCCGCGCTACAGCTGCGATGATATCGCGCCCCTGTCTTTTATCTGCGTGAGCCACCGCCAGCGAGAGTGCATCGTCCAGACCGCTCAACACTGGACGCAACGTATCCAACGGGGTCCGCCGACGAACCTCCAAACGAGGAATTACTGCACAAGACAGCATCTTTAACGCTGCTCACGCACGGTGCACATAGGGTGAGCTCACGGACCGCATCCGTACAAATCGACAAGCCGCACGAGCTGCGCGGGCGCGCCTAGAGAGGGCGGTGGAGAGCCAGAAGGCTTCTCCGACTGGTCGCTTTCGTCATTGTCTTCACCTTCGCGCATATCGAGCTCGAGGCGCTCCGTGGCTTCCTGCAAGGCAATCATGGCTTCTCGCGCATTGCTATGCTGGCCCATGTACGCTATCAGATCTCGCGCGCCGGGAGAGGACGAGGGCAAGATGCGGGGCAACACGCCCAGCGGGTCCTGTGGGACTCGCAGATCAGTAAGGCATGTGGAAGACCGAGAATAGAGAACACTGAGCAAACTGACCAGAAGAGCGCCTCCATCTGAGGCGGAGACAGACTCGTAGATCTCCTCCAAAGTGAGGCGCGAAGCTTGGTCGTGCACAGATGACAGGATTGCGCTCGTTAACTGGGCGCTAAGCTTCTGCAAGGGCAAGGAACGAATTTCGCGGAGTCAGCGTTATTATAGACTTGTCGTATGGATCCCGCCAAGTCCAGTGATATGCTGTACTCACCTCCGAGTCCGTATCCTCCTGTATCTGGAGAACACGTGCGAGGGCCGGGTACGAGGACATGTCGGAGTCGAGCGCGCCTTTGAGAGTGGTATAGCCGTCCTGAGACGGAGTATCGGATATCGCTTGACCACGATGCTTCGACAACTGGCAGCGATGTCCGGAATCCTGGTAGTAGCCTCAGAGTCGCGTCCTCGCGTCGACGCCGACACCAAAATGACTCGTCCCGTACGACCGTTATTACCGAGCCTCCTGTTGTAGGTGCGTATATCGACGGCGGCGTGCGTCTACCAGAGAAGTGTAAGTCGCAGCGACGCAACGGTGCGCGTCGGCTCTTTGTCGGGAATCGGCAAGTGAATCCCAATGCAAACACCTCCTTTTCCCGGCCACTTTATCTGCGTACCTCGTACCAACAATAAACTCAGTCGCCGTAATGCGGCGTCGTCCATATGAGACCCTATTCTTCGAAGCGACCCCCAGCTCAAAGTTCAGACGTTCTGAGATTCTGCGACACACGTGCACGAAGAGAGGTCGTATTTATGGTTGAACTGAGAACCTGCAATGCGTTGGTCGTTCGCTCGACAACGGACTGGCAACATGAAGGTACGCGCAGCTGAGCGACTCCTGGCCCTTGGAACGGCCGTCCTTTGCCAGTGGTGCGGGACGGTAAACGCTGCTCCCACTCCTCGTGAGTGTCTTTGAATTCATCGCACATGCACACATCAATCGCGTCAAACCGTGCAGAGCAGCTCTCCCTGCGGACCACAGACCTCAATCCCTATCCAACCAAACCACGGGTGACTTTCCGTGCGGATGGCACCTTCAAACTAACCGTCTTCTCGGACCTGCACTACGGCGAGAACCCATGGGACGCATGGGGCCCCCAGCAGGATGTGAACAGCACAGTGCTGATGAAGCTCGTGTTGGCGAGCGAGCAGCCGGATTATGTGTGAGTTCGTCAGTTGATTTGTTCTGGGGACGGGAGGCTGAGGAGGCTCGGGTAGAGTGCTGAACGGAGACTTGATTACAGGAGAGAGTGAGTTCGAGTCCGACCGCTTAGCTGGATGCCCTGGCATTGATGGTGGTCTGATAGATACGTTCCGCGAGAACTCTACTCACCTCATCGACGAGATCGTCGCTCCTCTCAACGCCGTGAAAATCCCTTTCTCCTCGACGCACGGCGTAAGTATTCCCCTTCCACCTGCGAAACTACGTACCAATGCAGTCTGGCTGGCTGGCTGGCTCACTCTTCGACCCACCCAGAACCACGATAACGAACCCAATATCACGCACTACGAAGAGATCATCCGCGAGCAGGAAGTCGCGCCACTGAGCTACACGCGCCTTGCACCTCCGGGGGTCGGCGGGTACGGTGGGCCAGGTAACTACTGGGTCCCGGTATGTCCTGTACCCCCGAAGATATCCCACAGATGTGCATACTTACTTCTTGTGTCAGGTGTATGAGAAGGCGTCGGGTATGTATCCTATACCCTTAATTTGCAGATGGAATTAAAATGCCTGACGATTACCAGATAGTGCACCCATACTGGTGCTCTGGTTCTTCGACTCGCGCGGTAACCACGCCCTCTCCCTCCTACTCCCGCCCACGCTCACAGACGCCCAGGCGGTTTCTCCCCCGGTGCGAACTCGACGGCGATGCCAGACTGGGTCGACGCGAGCGTCGCGACGTGGATCAAGAGCGAGACGGCCGCGATGACCGCAGCATGGGGCCCCGCCTCAGCGCGGGGGGCGCTCGCATTCGTTCACATTCCGCCGTGCGTCGTATTTATTGCTCCTCGTCTCGCCTGACTTGACTTCAATTTGCTAGTCACGTCATCCAGCCGCTTCAGGCAGGGCTGAACAGCACCCGGGACCCAGGGCTCAACGGTGTGTACCCGCGCACTCCTCAGGCTCGCGCGCTGACATACGCTGCTCCAGCTGACCTCCTCGGCCAGGGATCCACGCAGGCGACTACTGACCCCGCGAATAATGGCAAAGACGATGATTTCTGGGCCACGCTAAATGCGGAGGTGGAGAACCTGCACGCGGTGATATCCGGGCACGGTCAGTCCTCTAATAGCATGTGCGTATATCCGGATGTTGAGGGCGGGCATGGATAGATCACGGGAATGAATGGTGCATCCGCGAGCCGACCAAGGATGTCATTTTCTGCTTTGACAAGCATTCCGGGTATGTATAGCGTGCATGCACTTCCTGTCAGGCTGTGTTCACACTCATGAATGTAGGTATGGCGGGTACAGCAGTGCGGGCTGGGGCCATGGCGTGCGGAATATCGTCTTCAGCTCGCCTGACCCGAAGCAAGGCTTGCAGACGTGGATCCGGCTGGAGGATGGGACAACACGAGCACAGGTGACATTGGATGGGAGATATATGCGGCGGTGATGCTGGTGGATTGGAAATGGGGCATGGGTGTTGTGCAATGTAAATATGGCTATATACCACAGACATAAAAGGCATTGTGCACTCTTCGATGCTAAGAAGGCTACATAATGCAACTTACGACACTACAATCAAGCAAAGGAGACACATCTTTCCCAAATGTCCCCATGGACAAACTGCTTAAATGCAACTCTTGTGGGGTGTTCACATATGACAGCTGTATTGGCTGCCCTGAAGAATCCTTTGAGGTGCAGAGGAGGAATCCAGAAGTGAAGGTCTCCCTGGGGACTTATCAGCCAACCATCATCATGGATTGAAGTACTCCTGAATTGTTCTAAGCATATGTTTCAGTTATCTACAAGATGCACTGAATATTATCTAACTCACCTGAATATTCATCTTCTGGGAGTGTGGTATTTCCTGCTTGGATTTCCCAAATTCTGATTGTTTTATCATAGGATCCAGAGATGACGTGCTTGCCATCAGGAGAGAAGACCACAGAGTTGACAGAAGACTCATGCCCTCTTAGAGGCTCACCGACTGCCTGTCCTGTTAGAGTATCCCACACCCTGACTGTGCAGTCATCTGATCCAGACACAATGTACTTGCCATCAGGAGAGAAGGCTACAGCAGTGATGCAGTCATTGTGACCTTTGAGTGGGTCACCTATGGGCTTTCCTGTATGAGCATCCCACAAGGTGATTGTCTTGTCATCTGATCCAGAGACAATATGCTGGCCATCAGGAGAGAAGGCCACAGATCTGCTATAATATTCATGGCCAGTGAGAGGCATACCCATTGCCTTTCCTGTTAGGGCATCCCATACCATGATTGCTTTGTCATTGGTTCCAGAGACAATGTGCTTGCCATCAGGAGAGAAGGCCACAAAGTTGACAGAACATTCATGGCCTTTGAGAGGTTCACCCAGTTCCTGTTGTGTGATAGCATCCCAGACCCTGATTGTGTTGTCATTTGCAGCAGAGATGATATGCTTCCCATCAGGAGAGAAGGCCACGGTGTTGACCCAGCTGCCATGGGCTTCTAGGGGCTGGCCTAGTGCCTGGCCTGTTTGAGCATCCCATACCCTGATTGTCTTGTCATTTGATCCAGAGACAATGTGCTTGCCTTGAGGAGAGAAGACCACAGATCTGACAGAAGACTTGTGACCTCTAAGGGGTTCACCCACTGCCTCTCCTGTCTGAGCATCCCACAGTCTAATTGTCTTGTCATTTGATCCAGAGACAATGTGTTTCCCATTGGGAGAAACAGCCACAGAGTTGACGGAACCCTCATGGCATCTGGAATGTGCATCCTGAGTTGGTTGTGTGAGACCATCCCATACCCAGACTGTGCTGTCATCTGACCCAGAGAGGATATGCTTTCCATCAGGAGAGAAGGCCACAGACTGGACAGAATATTTGTGGCCTCTGAGGGGCTCACCCACTGCATCTCCTGTTTGAGCATCCCATAGCCTAATGGTCTTGTCATGGGACCCAGATACAATGGTCTTGCCATCAGGAGAGAAGGCCACAGAACTGACAGAAGACTCATGCCCTCTTAGAGGCTCACCAATCTCCTCTCCTGTCTCAGCATCCCATAGCCTGATTGTCTTGTCACTTGATCCAGACACAAGGTGCTTGCCATCAGGGGAGAAGGCCACAGATCTCACTGAAGCTTTATGGCCTTTGAGAGGGTCACCAACTGCCTGTCCAGTACAAGCATCCCATACCCTGATTGTGTTGTCATCTGATCCAGACACAATATGCTTGCCATCAGGAGAGAAGGCCACCGATCTGACAGAATACCCATGGCCTCTGAGAGGCTCACTCATTGCCTGTCCAGTCTGAGCATCCCAGACCCTGACAGTACTGTCATCTGACCCAGAGACAATATGCTTTCCATCAGGAGAGAAGGCCACAGACTGGACAGAATATTCATGGCCTCTGAGAGGCTCACCCACTGCTTCTCCTGTTTGAGCATTCCAGAGCCTGATCGTCCTGTCATTTGATCCCGAGGCAATGTGCCTGTCATCAGGAGAGAAGGCAACAGATCTGACTGGAAATTCATGGCCCTTGAGAGGCTCTCCCACTGCCTCTCCTGTCAGAGCATCCCACATCCTGATGGTGTTGTCATTGGATCCAGAAATAATGTGCATGCCATCATGCGAAATGGCTGCAGATTGAACTCCAGATTTATGTCCTTGGATCACCAGCTGCTGAGCAGGCCAGTTCTTCAGTTTGCCTACTTCCACCTGGAGTGTGTTGAGCACAGATGCTTGATAGTGCTGGGCCACAAGAGAAGCCTCTGGTGCAAATGGTATGGCTGAAAGATAGATATGGGGTGCTGACTCTGTTATGGGTTTGGCAAAGTAGAGAATGAACTGGGCTGCATCCTGCGCCAATTCTGCTAGGCCTGGGTGGTATGGCTAAGTATCGCAAGGAATAAGTGAGTTGTGTGTCAGCACATTTAAAGCATGGATGCTTACCTCTATCCATTTAGCCACTTGAAGTAATGTCTGGCGTGCAACATTCACCCTGCCAAGTATGCTAAGAATTTCAAACCAGCATAGCAGCTTCTTCTTCAGGAAATCATCCACCATGTGAGTCAATTGAGGTGGCCTGATAGAGGTATGTTGTGACCTCCAGAACTGCTCAAGGTGGCTTCCAAAGAACTGGCAAGCATATGCAATTTCAGCAGATGGCTGTTCATACTCCTGGTCAACATTGCGCTTGTGGGATGTTTTGAGCTTGCAGTGGTTGAACCTGAGGTGAGTGTCGATGATGAACAATGATCCTTGACATAATCTCCCATGGTGGTACGGGAGATCAATGAAAAACATTCCAGCAGACTCCTGACTTGTCAGGAAGTCATAGAAGGACTTGTGCAGGGGCTGGATTGGTGTGTCGGTGCCAGCAGTAACCCCATCCAAGAGTGAGCCCATAAACTCCAGAACACACTGGATATCACCCAAGGTAGATGCAATACTTTCTCGAGTACCAGATGGTGACAGCAGCACAGCCAAGCTCATCATGGAGAGCGGCCTGTATGAGGCCAGGACAGGACCAACAGCACTGTGGAAGTTCCTGGTGATATTCTCCTGTTCATCGGTGTCCATGCCATTGATCACAAACAGCTCAGTGAGGACTGTCTTGTACAGCCCATACAGGGTCTGGGTGGACTTGCGTGAGGCATCAGGGACGATCCTGTGGAATCTGGCCTGGTAATTGATCCCCGCCGGCTTTGGATCCGTGATAAACTTGCAAGCGACAAAGGCCCACTGGAAGAGCCTCCCAGCAAGCCCAGCCAGCTCTTCACAATCAGACTCCTGCAGCCCAGGAGTCAACTGCGTCTTGATGTACAGCAAGATATCCTGATGCGTATCTTGAACATCCTCCATGCTCCTACGCTCCACATGGGCAGAGTGCTTGAATGCCGCCATGATATCTTGCTCTGGACGAGAAGTGAGGATGATGCGGAAGTTGGATGGGAGAAGGTGGCTCTTGTTGGCAAAGATGTCGAGGACGGGCCTCCGGGCGAACACGTCTCCGCTCTCGTCCAGGGCATCAACGACGATGACAATAGGCCCCAAGATATCCAGCCCGCTCGTAGGCTTCAGCAGGAACTGCTCAAACTGATCTGCGATATCCCTAGTAGTGCGCGCCGCAGTGTCCAGCGTCGAAAGCCGCTCCCTGACGCGCGGGACGTGATCCGCCAGATCCCTGGCCACAGTGCCAAAGAGCGCGGACGGCCCCCGCGCAGCCGCCTCCGCCCTCGAGAAGCAGAAGGAGGACCCGAGCCGGCCGAGGTCCCTGAACCAGCGCGCGACGGTATGCGCCACGGTCGACTTGCCGGTGCCCGCTCCCCCGGTGAGCAAGAGGACCCGCTTGTCGCCGCCGCCGCCGCCGCCGCCGTTGACCCACTGCGCGATGTCGCTCAGCAGGCCCTCGCGCGTGCCGGGCAGGCAGGTCTTGGACGGCTGGCAGCCAGCCCCGGGCGCGTAGGGGATGTCCCGCACTTCGATTGCGTCGCCTGTGGGATAGAGGGTGAGCCCGCGCGGATATCGAACGCGAAATGGGCCTTACGCATCCCCGCGAGGTCGTCCTTGCTCCGGATACACAGGAGCTGGGTTTGGAGGATCCCGTTGTTGCGAAAGTCGGCGTAGAGGTCCTGGAACTTGGTCGTGAACTCGTCGATCATCCTGTCCGTATCCCGCAGCGCCTGCTTCCACGCGCGGGCAACTATGCCCGATGCCATCAGCATCCCCGACGACCCCGAGGAGCGAGGAGCGAGGAGCGACGTACAGAAGTGCTTATCCTTCGCGTACACCTGGACAAAGTGGCCGCACTCTACCGCTTGCTGGAGCATCTTGACGATCACGCCCTTCTGGTGCGCGAACCGGTCCGGCAGGGCCCGCGCGTCGTCGGCGAAGCCGAGCGCCTTGGCGATGGCCGACAGCAGATCCCGCACCTTCGCGTCGCGCTCCGCGCCCTGCCGGAGCACCTGCAGACGCCGCGCGTCAGTGTCGTCAGCGCAAAGAGCAACTCGCCCGGCGGACCTTGTACGCCGCGGAGAAGACGCCGTACGCCATCTTCGCCCAGGGGTGGATCTGGGTCGAGCGTGTACGTATGTCAGCGCGCGAGAGCGATGGCGGGTGTCTACATACCTCGGAGAGGACGCCCGCGACCTGGCCGAGGATCGCGAGCTTGTCGAGGACGGACTGGACCGCGTCCGCGGGGACGCCGGCGAGCAGCGCCGCGGCCGCCGCCGGGGGCGAGGGCAGCGGCATCGCGCGCATCGCGTCCGCCGCGTCCGCCGCGCCGGCGGCAGTCGCGCCTGCAAAGGCCGATAGGCTGCGTACGGCGACGTCGAACTCGATGCGGATGCGGTGCGCGGGATCGCCGTCGAGGTCGCGGGCGACTGTGGGTGGGTAGCGCCAGTGAGGCGGCGTGCAGCGGGGGAGGAAAGAGGGACGCACCGTGCTGGCGCGGGGAGCCCTGCAGCAGCGCCCGGACGTCCGCCTCGCAGCCGCCGACGCGCGCATCCGGGTGCCACAGGCGGCGCTTCGACTTGAGCGACACCGAGAGCGAGTCCGACGCGCTGTCGCTGGGCATTCATTCGGTTCGTGGTTAGACAGGGGGAAACAGCGCCGGCGGGACGCACAAGGAAATCACGTCGTCCCACCGCGCGTGCGCGCCGCGCGCGGGGATGGCCCGCGTGTCTTGCGTGGTGTCGCCGACGGCGAAGGATACGTACAGCTTGTGCACCGTCCGCCACGTTTGCTGCGCGTGGATCTGGATGTCTGTGCGAGCGAGAGCGGTATTCGCACTATGAACGGCTATGCGAGAGGGCTCTGCTTACTGGTGATCTCGAGGACCTGCGCGGGGTCGAGGTCGGGAGGATTGGGTTCGCTTGCAGCCATCGATTGATGTCGGGCCACAGCTCTCTGAAAGGTGGCAACAAGAACGATTGCACAACAACCCGCAATGGGCCAGTCCTTCTGTTATCACGGTAGTGCAGCGCAGCTTCGAGGCGCGTTATTTGTACATGTTTGCCTATGTGGCGCAATGCGACAGATAAGATCTATCGGCGCCGGCATCTAATCTGATAGGACCACCAACCTCGGGACTCACATCCAGCAACACTCTGTCTGGTATTTTTACACTTCTCTGCCGTACTGACTCAGAGTCATCGCACGTATCCACGCTAATCTGATTATATGACGACGCCCCAACACCGTACGTACGGGAGGCGTCCGACGCCAGTGCTCTGACAGTCCCGGTCCCGCCCCCATGCCCTAGCCAGGGCGGGTATAAAACCCCAGCGCACTCACCGGGAACAGCTCGCGCAGGACAGCGCCTACGCCGAGTCGAGGACTACCACGCCGCGCGCCTCGCCCCGCCCGATCCCGTCGTTCGTCGAGCATGTGATCCAGCACACGAGGGCGAACGCGCTCCCGCCCATTTCCATCTCCCCGCTCCAGGGCAGGCTCCTGCGCGTCGTGGTCAAGGCGACGGGCGCAGCGCGTCGTCGTGGAGGTCGGTACGCTCGGCGGGCGAGTCGCGCGCTTGCCTCTCATGTCCTCACACAGCTCGTCGACAACATGGTCGACGAGGGCGGCGTCTCCGACCCCTCCACCACCTCCAACACGCGCGTGAACAGCATGCGTCGCCTGCTCGAGCAGCTGACAGACGACCCCGAGCTCGAGGCGACGACGGTGGGACGGGTTCGTCGCTGCGGTCAGGGGTGTAGGCGCGCGGCGGAGGCGCTTCTTGTAGTCGACGGTGTATGGTGTATGGTGTATGGGCGGGGCATGTACGAATATCAATACGCACACACACACACGCGCGCGCCCGTCCATCCGCGCGTCGAGATCTCGCTTCCTGATCCTTCTTCCCCACCCGCCCGTCCCGACTCCCGTGGCCGGGCACGCCGTCATGCAAGGTTACATTCCGTATCTTGATCTGAGAATCCCAGTACTTGTATCTGCAATCCCACCGACGTGCCGGGGGGGGGGGGGCGTGGCCACACTCCCGCGGCGCCTGGTCATCTCTGGCCCGGGGATGTGCCATGGGGGCGGGGTATAAGAGCGGCGGGGCATGCCCCAGACGGAGTAGTACGCGCCTCGATGACTCTCCTACTTGACTTTGCTTTCCAGACTCCCTCCCACGCCGTATGTATCCCTGGGACAGAAGCACGCGTTGTCCACCCGCGCTCACACTCCCCGACGAGTCTCCTGCTAAACTCGCATCGTCGACCGACCTGCGTACCCCCGCCTCTTGCTGCGAAGCCTCCCATGCGCCCGTCTTCTCAGCCGTGGCGGCACCGAGTCAGGCACGTATGCGTGTTGGTGAGCCACCGTGACCGCACCCTCCACCCTCCACCGTAACCGCACTCCCGCTTCCCTGCTCCCTGCTCCCTGCTCCCTGCTCCATTCTGCAACCTGAACGGGGAGGCAAGTAGGCACAGCCCGGGGAGAGGATAACGTGTATCTGAGCTAACATCAACCTCGCCCGACCACTGACTCTCGCGGGCTCGGATCGGGTGGGTGGGTGGCCGTCTGTAAGGATATGTTGCAGTAAGTAGTACATATATATATAGCGTGCCTCGGAACCATCACCAGCGCCGTCCGCGTCGATCCCCCTGACGGGACGGTACCGAACGCACGCTGATATTAATCCAGGACTGGCGCTGCAGTTGGGGATGTACCGCCACCGTGATGGGACTGGGCGTGCGTGGCCGTATCATAGGAACAGCGGGGTGGGTCCGTCGCCTGTCCACATCCATATCTCGGAGTTCCGTCCTGCGTGCTCTCGAGAACGTTCGCTATCTCGCAATGATGCCACCTGCAGCGGGGATAAGTACATTTGTTGGGTATGTACATAACGTGAGCATAGCGGGCATATTCCCGAAGAGGCAGCCCTCCTTCCGTGTCCAGCGGCCGACGGCCGTGGATATCCAATAGACGGAATCAAACGGTTATCTAAACTTGAACGCTGCAGGAGAGTGGATCAGTAGAGTGGTTGCGGCCGCCAGCCGACAACGGGCGCTGGGTCGGCGCCGGGGGACAGCGAATTCGAACAAGCACGGATGATAGAGGGGTGATGTTCCAGGCACAGCTTGACTGGATGGCAGGACGGACCCCCACCGAGGACGCATGTCCGATGGTCGGACGATGTAATTGTGGGATGTCACGTTATTGTCACGGTAGGAAAAGAAATGTTTTGTCTCAGAATGCATACATCGATAGTGGACATGAATGGTGTCAATCTGCCATGAGCCGATAAATCGATTGCAGGGAAGACGATGCACATGCGCAGGCAGCGTTTGGGCGGCACCGCAACTAGGCGATCGCCGCACAAGATACTATTGTGTCTGAGACGCTGCTGTGTGTATGGAAGGACGCTCGACGTCGAGCACGGTTGTATGCAGCAATCATACGAGTCACGGCAGGGAAGCGAAAGTGGCGTCCTCCGAGCGCGAACGGAGGACGGCAGATGCGCCGTGTGAACTTTGGGGACGGAGGACGGACATATGGCCGTTTTTTATAGTAGCCTGATCCCGACCCACTGCTTTTGCCAGCCCACACGTATAAATACCGCCTGCCGCTCCTCGCCCCCGCCTTACGCCCCGTCACCCATCCCCGTCGCAAAAGGTGTAGCCAGAGCCGCCCAGCATGTCTTCCAAAGGTACGTCCCCGCCGCTGCCCCCGTCGCCCACACCCTTACCCGCCCCCCAGCCATCCGCGAATACGACGCAAAGCTGCTCCTCGCCTACTGGCTCCCCCGCAGCCCCTCCGTCTCCTCCGAGCCGCTCGCGACGCAGTTCAGCTACCCCGAGCCGCGCGTCGCCCAGATCTCCTGGGACCCCGACACCAACACCCTCACGCCCGAGAACCAGCTCCCCGGCTGGGTCTCGTCGACCAAGCTCGTCGCCAAGCCCGACCAGCTCATCAAGCGCCGTGGCAAGGCGGGCCTCCTCGCGCTCAACAAGGACTGGCCCGAGGCAAGGCACTGGATCGAGCAGCGCGCGGGCAAGCCCCAGAGGGTGAGTACGGTTTCGGTGCTTATCAGTGATTAGTGTCTGTCTTGTTACGTTGAGACGGGGACATGCGCAGTCCGGTCATCGTCCCGCTAGTCCCATTAGTGCGTCTCGGGGCGCTAGTCTTCCAGTTTCAGTCTCTTTCTCTTGTTCGATTCACTCGTCGGACGCGCCCGACATGCTGTTGTCGGTCGAGACGCGCTAGATTAGCGTCACGTGACGCATATATTCACATGTTTTCCCCTTTCCAGAGTGCACGCATTCATCTTTCAGCCGGACGCTGACCTCCTACTCTGCACAGGTCGAGAGCACCGTCGGCACGCTCAACACCTTCATTGTCGAACCCTTCCTCCCCCACCCTTCCAACACCGAATTCTACATCTGCATCACCTCCTCCCGCGATGAGGACACCATCCTCTTCACCCACGAGGGCGGCGTCGACATCGGCGACGTCGACGCCAAGGCCCTCCGCCTCTCCGTCCCCATCCTCAAGCCCTTCCCCTCGCGCGCCGAGGTCGAGGCCGCGCTCCTCCCGCACGTCCCCGCCGCCAAGAAGGCGACGCTCGTCGACTTTATCGTCCGCCTCTACTCCGTCTACGTCGACCTCCACTTTGCGTACCTCGAGATCAACCCGCTCGTGGTGCTCGACGGCGAGAACGGCAAGGAGCCGCAGGTGCAGTACCTCGACATGGCCGCGAAGCTCGACCAGACCGCCGAGAGCATCTGCGGGCCCAAGTGGAGCATCGCGCGCGACCTGAGCGTGTACGACGGCGGCGCCAAGGGCAGCGCCGCGAGCTCCGGCAGCAAGGTCAACGCCGACCGCGGCCCGCCGATGGTCTGGCCCGCGCCGTTCGGCCGCGACCTCACCAAGGAGGAGGCGTACATCCAGAAGCTCGACGCCTCGACCGGCGCGTCGCTCAAGCTCACCGTGCTCAACCCGAACGGCCGTATCTGGACGATGGTCGCCGGCGGCGGCGCCTCGGTCGTCTACTCGGACGCGATCGCCGCGCACGGCTTCGCGCACGAGCTCGCGAACTACGGCGAGTACTCCGGCGCGCCCTCGGAGGGCCAGACGTACGAGTACGCGAAGACGATCCTCGACCTCATCACGCGCGGCGAGGTGCGCAAGGACGGCAAGATCCTCATCATCGGCGGCGGCATCGCCAACTTTACCAACGTCGCCGCCACCTTCAAGGGCATCATCCGCGCGCTCAAGGAGTTCAAGCAGGGGCTCGTCAACCACGGCGTGAAGATCTACGTGCGCCGCGGCGGGCCGAACTACCAGGAGGGGCTCAAGGCGATGCGTCTCCTCGGCGAGAGCCTCGGCGTGCCGATCCACGTCTTCGGCCCGGAGACGCACATCACGGCGATCGTCCCGCTCGCGCTGGGCGTGCCGCCGAAGGAGAAGAAGGGCGGCGCCGCGCAGCAGGTGCCCGTGTCGATCCCGAGCACGCCGCCGCCGGCGCGGGGCGAGGTCGTGCAGGGCGAGGAGGGCGTCGGCGCGATCCGCGCGGACGGCGAGCGCACGCAGGCGCAGGACCAGATTGTGCGCTTTGAGAATGTGGCGCACGGCGCGCGCCCGTGGTACCGGCCCTTCGATGCGAGCACGCGCTCGTTCGTGTATGGCCTGCAGCCCCGTGCGATTCAGGGCATGTTGGACTTTGACTATTCGTGCGGGCGCGAGACGCCGAGTGTGGCGGCGATGATTTATCCGTTTGGCGGGCACCATATTCAGAAGTTCTACTGGGGCACGAAGGAGACGCTGTTGCCGGTGTATACGAGCGTTGAGGAGGCGGTGGCGAAGCACCCCGATGTGGATGTTGTGGTCAACTTTGCGTCGAGCCGGAGTGTGTACTCGAGCACGCTTGATATCCTCAAGCACTCGCAGATCAAGGTGAGTGTATGCGGTCTGGTTTCGTATGCATGTGTCTAATGTGATTTTGCAGGCTATTGCTTTGATTGCTGAGGGTGTCCCCGAGAGGCACGCCCGCGAGATCCTGCACATCGCCAAGGGCAAGGGCGTCCTCATCATCGGCCCCGCGACCGTCGGTGGCATCAAGCCCGGCTGCTTCAGGATCGGCAACTCTGGCGGTATGATGGACAACATCATCTCATCCAAGCTGTACCGCCCCGGCTCCGTCGGCTACGTCTCCAAGTCGGGCGGTATGTCGAACGAGCTGAACAACATCCTCTCGTTGTACACGAACGGCACGTACGAGGGTATCGCCATCGGCGGCGACCGCTACCCCGGGACGACGTTCATCGACCACCTGCTGCGCTACGAGACGGACCCCGAGTGCAAGATGCTCGTCCTCCTGGGCGAGGTTGGCGGCGTCGAGGAGTACCGCGTCATCGAGGCGGTGAAGAAGGGCCAGATCAAGAAGCCGATCATCGCATGGGCGATCGGGACGTGCGCGAAGATGTTCAGCACGGAGGTGCAGTTCGGGCACGCGGGGTCGCTCGCGAACTCGGACATGGAGACGGCGGACGCGAAGAACCCCGCGATGCGCGCGGCGGGCTTTATCGTGCCGGACACGTTCGAGGAGCTGCCCGACGTGCTCGAGGAGACGTACAAGCAGCTCGTCGCGCAGGGCACGATCGTGCCCAAGCCCGAGCGCGAGCCGCCCGTCATCCCCATGGACTACAAGTGGGCGCAGGAGCTCGGGCTTATTCGGAAGCCTGCCGCGTTCATCTCGACAATCTCGGACGAGCGGGGCCAGGAGCTTATGTACGCCGGTATGCGCATCTCGGATGTGTTCAAGGAGAACATCGGCCTCGGCGGTGTCGTCTCGCTTTTGTGGTTCAAGAGGCGTCTCCCCGAGTATGCCACGAAGTTCATCGAGATGGTGCTCATGCTTACCGCTGACCACGGCCCCGCCGTGTCCGGGTACGTCATCTTTCCCTTTTACTCATTTCTTGCCTCTGACCACGTTATCCAGTGCGATGAACACCATTGTCGCCACTCGTGCCGGCAAGGACCTGATCTCCTCGCTTGCCTCCGGTCTTTTGACCATTGGTAGCCGATTCGGTGGCGCCCTCGACGAGGCAGCCGCTATGTTCTCGAGCGCGCGCGACCGTGGCCTCACGCCGCGTGAGTTCGTCGACGAGGCGCGGAAGCAGAACAAGCTGAGTAAGTGGTTGCCTTGTGGTCCAATCGAGTGACGCCGTGCTGACAGCAGCCCTGTAGTCAGCGGTATTGGCCACAAGATCAAGAGCGTCAACAACCCCGATCTCCGTGTGCAGCTCGTCAAGGAGTACGTCCTCAAGAACTTCCCGGCGCACAGTCTGCTCGACTACGCCCTGGCTGTCGAGAAGGTGACGACCGCGAAGAAGGATACCGTGAGTGCAAACTGCGTTGCAAGGCCAATTGCTTTGTCTAATCTAGTCTATACTAGCTCATCCTGAACGTCGACGGTTGCATTGCCGTCTGCTTCGTCGATCTCCTGCGCGATTGCGGTGCCTTCAGCGCTGAGGAGGCTGATGAGTACATTAAGGTCAGTGCGATCGTCGTCGTCCTCTCTTCACGCATGCTGACCTTCGTCATCTCCCAGATTGGTACTCTGAACGGTCTCTTCGTTCTCGGCCGCAGCATCGGCTTCATTGGCCACCACCTCGACCAGAAGCGCCTGCGCGCTCCCCTCTACCGCCACCCCGCGGACGACATCTTCATCAACATGGCCGACGTTACGCAGCCGCGCGTGCTGGGCAAGATGCAATAGACGATTCTCCTCATCCTCAATATCAATGCCAATGTCATGGGTTTGTGCTCCATATAGAGTTGTTGTTTTCTTTTGGATTTGCGTCAATGCTCTCGTCACGGACACCAGTATCTACGTTGCTCTCTGTAATCCTGTTTTCGCTATCGCTAATTAGACGACGTAATGAAAGCATGAACAAATGATATCCAGATCCTAAGGCTTAAGGATGACTGCAGTCAAGCGGGATGCTATCCTCTACGAACTAACTTTGATACACTGCTGTCCATATACATCATAGCTGTACAATTGCGAGGTGATTTGTCATGCAATATAGATATGCATCCAGTGTGAAACTGCGAGAGAAGTAATACTATCATTTTGGGGGTTCTGTCAAGACTTCGGAAAATGACCTGCCACAGGCCCGCTCCTTGGACAATCATTTACTTTCAGACAGGCATCATAATAAACCCTCCTAAGTACCATCTGCGCAAATAACGACCTCAATTGACTGGGTACAATATAACAGAGAGAGATGCCGGTGATAGACCCACAGTCGCAGGTAGTTCTGTCAAAGCGTCACACGCGAGTCACAGTAAGGAATCCGCGCCAATTTCGTCACGCATTTGTCACGCCCAGGACCCTTGCACTTCTGTCAAACATACGATACGAGCAGTTGGGATTGCTTTAACACCAATCGGGCGGGTGAACCATGCTTAGCTACATAATACAGTGTTACCCAACTAGCTGATATTTGCCGGAAGACTATAGGCCGAGAGATCTAATGCATCAGGCCTGTTTCTCATGGTTACACTGGGCTGTTTGCACAGTATTCGTCCTCCCATTCAACAATGGTAGAAGATATGATAGTTCTGACTTCACAGGCGTCCTCTACGGGTTACAATTCACCTATGTACCAATCCGCTAAGCCACCCGTTGCATGTTTGTCGAGATTTCGGAGTTCTGTCAAAAATCTGACTTTGACAGAACCCCCAAAATGATAGTACTTGTATGTCCTACCACTGCTCATGGCTGGTTCGCATGAGCCTCAACCCCAGCTGCTGGCTTTCCACCATGTTCTACTGGTACCTCCCGCACCACCAATTCAATATCCCTGATCTCGGCTTGAGACTCTGTGTCCGTTGGCACTGGCCTGGATGCAAATTGCATAGTAGATGCCATGCCTGTGTTTTGTGATCCGTGGGTTTGCTCCCAAGTCTTGCCTAGGGCCACAAGGATGGTAATGGAGGCTGGTACAATTCCCTGGCAAGAGGTAACTTACATATCAGAAAGACATGAAATAGTATATTGAGACATACAGAGAGACCCCATGAGAGCCTACTTAGGATGACCTAGAATATTCCAACTGAGCTTTCAGCTTTGCTCTACTATGGTATTATTATGATTCACTGACAGCTGGGATACCAGTGGAGTCTAGGACAGAAAAGATACCGGAAAGGACACTGAAAAGTGCATATGCAGCACCTGATTCAATGCTATGATGCATTGTGAGAACATCAATGTGGCATGCTCATACAGGTGGGATCTCACATGAGAAACATCAAGGAAAGATATCTTTCTGAATGCTTGTTGTGAGGATGTCTTCTGGCCATCTGACGAGCCCTCCACAACATGGAAGCTAAGTGCAAAGCAAGCATTAGCAGGTAAAGCAGAGCACTTTGTATTGAGATGCACTATACCAATTATTGTAGTCATGGTGATATTTGTAACAAATACCAAGACATAGAAGCTATTGCTGAAACTAAGCTGGAGGGAGTTGAGGGCTTGAACTCTTGCTGGTATTGATGTAGTCGTTGCTGATATGTCATGCCTTGTATTGCTGATTATTGCACCTACAACCACCTGACCACCACCAGTGACTTGGAGGAGTACAGTGAGTGATCTCTTCAGATTGTGTGTTGTACTCACCACCCTCACCAACGAGTAATACCATGCCAGTGATCAAAACCCAAGTCTTTCCCCCTGAAATTATAACTGCACGCCACATCTACAATGTAGAATTGATGATTTCACTCCATATAAATGGGAATAGAACCTCATATACCAGCAAGATGTCTGCAAGTAGACTTGTAGGATGTTCAGTGAATGTAAGGCATGAAGAACACAAAAAGACCTACACTGTTGCATTCTCCAGTGCAGAGGTGATAGTAGCAAACAAATCATTGATGTCAGCTTCCTTGGCAAACAGGTCAAGGGTGCTTTCATCCTTCACAGGCTTTCCATATAGGTATAGAGCATCTGTTGTCCAGAACAATGCTAGAAAATAACACACTGCATCTGCAGTTGTAAGGATAAGTGTGACTATGGAAAAGATCAAAAGTTGCTGGTTTGCATGTCCAGCTTTCTCCCTGTGCACTAGGAGCCAAACCGAGATTAAAACCACAAGAACATATAACCCTAGAGTATAGTTAGACATGTACATGACCAGAAGGTTGTTTTCAATGCTGACCATAAAGCAATGCCTGCATCTACATGGATGTCTGTATGATATAGCCTGTTCACTGCAAGAAGTAGAGAACATACAAACACTTCCAGAATTACCACCTGTAAGGACACCTGTAGCATGGAATTGTGAAGGTCTCGTAGACCACACACCTGCAAGCGAGAAGGAGAGACCATGGCAGGTGCAAGGACAGGCAGATGCCAGCAAGGATTTGTATAGTAGTGCAATGCACAGTAGTGGAAGAGGTTAGTGAACTCTTAAAGCCTATAGGGTCAGGGAGGAACAAAAATGTATCATTGAGTATATTTAGAAGAAAGTTGTTGGATGGTGCTGTACGGAAGCACTATCTGCTTCATCACGTCTCACTTGTTCTATCTGTCATCTTCACTGACCATCATACAATCCATCTACTGTCCCCACAAGTTATTGTTACATGCATTCCCAGAGTCCATATCACTCCACCTCAAGGTTCTAATAAGATCCAAAGCAAAATATAGGCCGGGTTTGCACATCTGGTCACTCAGACAGAGCAATGATTTCACTATAATACACATGTATTGCAATACAATCTATCATTCACATGAGATAGCGCCCGATAGCAAAACACCAATCAGTTGAGAGACATCGTCGTATCCATGACCTCCTCAGCACGAGCTAAAGATGCAGCCGGGGTTGCACCGGGTCGAAGGGAGAATATCACATCTTTTATGACTTGTGAGATAAGGCCGTGCTGCGCCTCCACGGCGATCTTCATGCTGCAATGCATTAGAGGCTCAGTGGAGTCAAGGGAAGATGTGAACATGAGAGAGACACGGACCTATCTCGGACGCTCTTCGTGAGCTGACTGTCTTCTTTCTTCTTTGTTTCCTTCTGGGATGGTATGAGAATGTTGAGCAAACATGGAAGATGTAGGAAAAGAGGGCACCTTCGGGCCATCAGTGTCGTCTTTGAGCGATGGTAGGGTAGGGCGCGAGCTCTGCACGGTCGTCTGCGCCTTCGCGAGTTTCTGATGCAAATCACTCAACTGAGATACGGCATACTCGCGATTCTATGTGGCGCAGTCAGCGTCACTTAGGTCCCCCCTTTCACATACGAAGACACGCACGGAAATCAGCGGACTCTGGCTGAGGGTGTTCACCCAGTACTTATTCCACAGCAGGCCCAGTAGCTCGTTGTCCAGACTCGACTTGAATATCTCCACCTCCAGCGGGTAGTACTGGTCCGCGTGAACACCGAAGTCCTCGATCTTGCTTAGCGGGATGGATTGGTACTCGGAGCTGGAGCTCGATTCGGGCTTGTGGTTCTCCGGGTATGTGCGGAAAGCGCCGATGTCGACCTTTCCTGCGGAGATGGTGCGGTTGGGGTCGATCTTAGCAACCGGAAACATCAACCTGCCAGAAGAAGAGATGACCAACGGAAAGAACTTACCACGACGGCAACAAAGGGGTCGGTGTATTTCTGGTTGTTCATCTGCGTGGAGACATCGATTCCAGATAGCCAGCAGCCGTACCCTGGGTGAGAGTGGTACCAGCCAACGGCATTCTCTAATCGTCCAACCTGCCAAGCTTCGTCGCGCCAGGTTCACTTGAAACACTATATGCGCGTACCTTCTCGCTCCCTTGAATGTATTGCACCATGTACTCGTTCGCCTCGTTTGCAGCATTCACTCGCGTCTCCGTACCTTGCACAGGTAGCGCAAAAGAGTCCATAACGACCATCGCATCTCCCACAACTTTGCCCTGCATAAGGCCCATAATTTCGTACGGTACACCCGATCGTGCATGGATGACCTGCGTGCAGCGCCTCTGAGTTACAGCACATCCTTCCGCCGAGAGAGAAGCCCACCATCTTAATCAATGCCACTGCAGATATTCTACATTTCTTGAAGTGTTTGGGACTGTGAGCCGACAGTAAGCACTGGTGGACGCGAGGACCGTGGCGTGAATATACTCTTTTGTCCAAGGGGCCTCCTTATCGAGCCTCTTCGCGGCATCCTTGTCATATCGATATATCTCATCTTCTGGAGACACCTCCAGTATGTCGTTCGTCAACGAGAACGTCTTGAACGCTGTATCATTCGCAGACATCGTCGAGGACAAAGTGTAGTCCTGGCGGTGGCGCGTCCTTGCGTCCGGCGTCCAGACCGGCGATTGATTTCGGCGTGTGCCGAGCCAACCGCTATTTGCCGTAGCAGTACCAATTCTGCATCGCAACCTTGAGCTGGTCATCGTCGGCGGCGTCCTCAAGCTCACTACAAGACCCTACTCAACGCCGTGAGTGTCTTTCTGCTCGCTGTCAGCCCCGTAGACGTTGTTGGAAGGGTTCTGGGAGGGGTTGTGCCGCTGCATGGGATGGATTGGACCACTGTGGTACGGATGTAACTAACCCAACTTCGCCTCTGTTCTGCAGATGCCTCTTCAAGAATACCAGGTTGTGGGGCGCCACCTGCCCACGGAGTCGGAGCCCACTCCCAAAATCTACCGCATGCGCATCTTCGCGCCCAACGAGGTCGTCGCTAAGTCGCGTTTCTGGTATTTCCTCAGGTGCGTGTGCCGTGCGATCGACCCTCTACCTGTACCAATTTCCCATATCCCGCAGACAGCTCAAGAAGGTCAAGAAGGCCAATGGCGAGATCATCGGCGTGAACGTTGTGTGTATCTTAATCCCATGCAGCCGTGCAAGTGGCAGGCGGACGGGAGCTAATCGTCGTCCTCGGGGGACGCTTTTTGTAGATCCATGAGAAGAAGCCGCTGAAGATCAAGAACTTCGGTATCTGGATCCGCTACGACTCGCGCTCGGGCACGCACAACATGTACAAGGAGTTCCGTGAACTCACACGAGCGGACGCCGTCAAGGCCCTCTATCAGGACATGGCTGCCCGCCACCGTGCCCGGTTCCGGTCTATCCACGTTTGTCTCCTCTTCTCCCTTCCATGATACCCCTTCTCAATGCATGATCTAGATTCTCCGGGTTGTCGAGATCGAGAAGACCGCCGATGTCCGCCGGCCATACATCAGGCAACTCCTCACCCCCAAGCTCAAGTTCCCCCTCGCCCACCGCGTCTTCAAGGCGAAGTCGACGTTCGTCGCACACAGACCCACTACTTTCTAATTGGGTATGTAGTCACGGTCAAAAGGCCTTTGCCGGGTACTGTGGGCAGCGGTGCTGCGAGCATGTTCATGCGATGCTATGTATTCCCGCTACGTGCGCTATCATGATTATATGGAATATGTGCTCCATCTGCCTGACATCACCCGGGGTGAAGCAGTGTTAGTCCTGTATATACGCCGAGATCATGGTGCCGTCGATCTACCACTCGCGACAACATGGCGTTCAATTGCAGCCACAACAGCCAACATCTTAAATTTCTCCGCTAATGAGCGCAATAATGATACATATCTCCTGCTAATTTACAACGCGCTGCAACTGATCCTACAACTGATACTATGGGTTGCGGTCTGTATTGACTGCAGGACCGGCTCAAGAGGTGTCTCGGCTCGTACATAGGTGCTATCACTTCGTCCCATCTGGATACGAACAAAAAGCTCTAACGCCAGTAATCTTGGCAGCACCTCACGGGCCAAATCAAATGGATATCCGGGTGCATCCTTGGCACACCGAGACCCCGCACCCTGGACATTGCTTGAGCGCAAATTGATGAGTCGATCATCAAACATAAACAGCACATCCATGAAGACTTACGAACAGACTACCACCGTGGCTCTGGGTGCAATACCGACACGTCCCCCTCGCCCTCGCGAAATACTGCCATCGGTGGTTCTGGCATTCCCGCACCCTGGCAGCCGTCGGGGAGGTTGGACTTGTCGTTGAGCTCGAGCTTGAGGGAGACCCTATCGTGCTTAATGGCCACTGCCAGCCAGTCAGCATGCTAGACGAGGTGTGCTCGGGCTGGGAGTGGTAGCTCGCTGGCCCGGCGATGGTATGGATAGGTGCTAAAGCGGTGGTAACCGGCCGGACAGTGTATTCCGCCAGGCGGACTCTCTTCCTAGGCAGATCCGAATCGTCTTCGGGGAATTTACGGGCAGCACCTCTCGGAGCTGGGCTTACAGAGTTACTCGGGAAATGATAATATGGGGGCCTTGAGGCCATGGTAGTCGGAAGTATTCTGCTCCCGGTTGCGAACATACCATGCATTCCTGAGGTGGCTTGTTGGACAACAAGCAAAGGAAATAAGGGAACGGGCAGCTCTGTTCGAACCGGTACTGGCGGTGGCAGTATCGGCTCGGGGAAATCGCCCCGGTGATGTGCCAGTCCCTCCGGGCTCGGGGGACTGGGGGCCCTGGGCACCCGTCTTCTAGGAACGGCCCTCGCGCGGGCGCGGGCGCTGTTACACCTACAGCTCTCCCTCCTCATCTTGCACTGGTAGCAGAAATTCGTTCTGCACTTGCACACCATGTGGTCGCACCCCTGCGTGCGCTCGACCAGCGCGCCGCAGCCGGGGCAGCGTGCCCACCCCTCGCGCTCGACGAGCGCGAGCACCGCGCGGTCCGCCGCGTCCAGCTCGACCTTGCACGCGTGCTTGGCGCCGTGCTGGACGAGCTCCTTGCAGCACGGACACGTCTTCGCCCCGCACGTGCACTTCAGGATGCGCGCGGTCACGAATGTGCCTTCGACCTGCGGCCCGAGGAAGCGGCTGCACGACGGTTTTGCGCAGTATACACGCTTTGGCGTGCTGTATTCTTTGGACTTTTCGAAGAAGAGTTTTGAGAACTCGGTAGTCATGTGATTTATGGCAAGCCGCAAGGGAATTGGGAGGGTGCAGCATCGCGGAGGGAAGAGGGACTCGTCGCGTGTCGAGACCTCGAAGAGCGCAAGCAGGCAAGCAGGATCGTAGGAGTGCCCGCACGGCGCTCGGATTTCGCGAGCGGGAATGGGATCCTGACACGCTACACAACATGCACCTTGCGATCTGCTCAAAGAGAGAACGTCGGCGGAGAAGCGCGCCGAGGATGCCCAGTACTTACGGGGAGGGTACGCTAGCTTCCTCGTCTTCCTGCTTAGGAATGAGGTCCTCGCTGAATAGCGAGGCTAAGCCATCGTCTTTAGCAGGACTTCCTTGAGCTGGCTGGATGCGAGGAAGGTCCCAGAGCGGGGCGTGATGTCTCAGACCATCTTCAACCTGCTGTGCTCGGCGTACATGTGCGGCCGTTGCATAGCAGAACAATTCCCAAGCGTCGGCAGACATGGGAGCGGAGAGAGAGGTGCTTGGACTTGGAGCGCCCAAGCCGGAGAGCCTTCATGGTGGTGCGGAGAGAGCGTGGCCAGCAAAAGTAACGGAGTGGATGCGCGCTAAGCAGATGGACACGATAGTACACCGGCCGGGTGCAATCGAGGCCTGCAGGGGCCAGTCTCATCTCATCCTCGAACAGCTGTGCCCACCCCGGGGAATGCAGCGATGTAACAGTACGGATAATTTAGGGCCACGAAGCGATTCAATGATGCTCTCGTCATGCACAAACCTTGTCCTCGGATTGTTGCTCTCCCGGGCCGCTTTAGGCATTTCATATAAGGTTTATTGGCGAGTCCTCGAGTTCCCTAGATCAGAGTGTCTCGACAGCACCGGTCCGAGGCGAGGAATCTTACGCGCTGGAGGGACGACGGCTCAAGATATTCATGCTTTTTGGGAGCAGCAACACGGGAAGACTCACTGAACCCACAGGTTGAAAGATTCCCATGGAAGTCAAATGTTGAGCTGATGCGCAATGTCCTGTAGTCAGACAAGTCCCACAACCCTCCCAAAGAGGGCAGTATCAGAGCCAGTGGATGACTGGGTAGTGACCCAGGAAAGAGTGTCATTACAAACGAGTGTGTACCACAGACCCGAATACGGCCCAAAGTTCAGTCAAAGCAGTCACGATAGCAGAGCGAGCAAACCCAGTCCATAATCCAAACCGCGCGCGGCCTTCAAAGTCCCGAGACTCTCAGAGAAGTCCAACCGTATCCTCATAGCAAACCCAGAGACGCAGCGAGGACGGCCAGGCCGCCGAGGGCGAGCGAGGCCTCCGTGCCGACGGCGGCAGACTTGCCAGTCGAGGATGGGGACGAGCCAGACGTGCTTGATGCGGAGTCGCCCCCGGCGGTCGAAGAGCCGGTCGCGGTCGGCGTCGCGCTAGACGCGGGGTATGCGGAACCGAGAGGCTTGATCTCGAATTCCTGGGATTGGGCGTAGATCTACAAGCAACGTCAACGCTTGCAGCAGCAAGGAAGAGAGGAGAACGTACTTCGGTGCTGTTCAGCGGGTTCGCGAGCTGCACGGTGTAGCCGGTCGCAGGCGGGTAGCCGGACTGCGAGTCCGTGATGGTCTTGGAGCAGTCGTAGTTGTTCTGCACGGCGATGATGGCTTGCGGCGCGCTCAGGATGCTGGGGTTAGAGTTCGCGACGCTAGTAGTTGACGTTGTTAGGGAGAAATCAGGAGATACTGAGTCGTACGCCGGAATTTCTCACAGGATAGTGAAATTTTGGTATTGGGAGTCTTTGCACGTCCAGAGGAGGGTATTCGTGGAAGAGGCAACTGAGGATTGTTTCGAGAATCACAGCAGAGCGACAAGAGCGGAAGCAGAAGAACGGATTCCCGGTAGTCAGAACTCCTCAGTCCACCGAAGTAGAAACTGCCAGCCAACTCACCCCACCACAAGTTCGGTCCACCCGGAGCCAAAATTGACAGGTCGGCATTGGCGACGCCAAAGAGAGCGGCGGCAGCAGCGAGGGTATAGCGGATGGAGACCATGTTGAACGAGGGAGGCGACAAGGGACGGAAGACGGACGAAAGACAGGAGGGTTTTGTACACGGCTGTTGTTATACTTAGGCTCCGTTCGGTTGCACGGCCGCGTCGCGGCGCTCTCAAGGCGCCACAGCCAGCTCGGCCGCGTGGCAGTGCTTTTAGTGAGAGGCGATTGGCTGAAAGACTGTTTTGGCGTCGTTGGCCGCGACGCGGCCATGCATCCGAACGCAGCCTTAGCGTCGGCAACGCTTCTGGGGAAAGCAAACCGAAGCGCGTGCTCGAGAAGCGGCGCTCGGCACGAACCGAGCTGTAAGCCACCTCCCATGCCTGTCGATTGTGGATTGTTGATTATTGTAGCTCAACTTCTAGTCCGTGGAGGGCAACTTCATGCCTTACCAGTATCCCTGGACGGGTAAATCAACTTCGGTGCAGAACAGCGAAGCTGGTGGGACATCTAGTGCAAGCCAGCATGACACCATTCATCGGATG